AGGAAAATCATCAATAATCCAGAGACTGAGGAAATATTTATGGTAGTACCCAGAAGACCAAGTGGGCTTGCATAGAACAAGTACAGTATGAACTGAATCAAATATTTTTCAGTATCACTTAAATTTAAAGGGGTACCCAGGTTTTAATCTCAGCAACACATTTGCCAAAGGAAAAAAGAACTCTTTGAGGTGAGCTTCTTTTAAATGTGCATATGTAGCTCACGGGAATGAAATCAATGTGATCTTTGAGTGTTTCAGTTGTTATTTCTTTCACATTAAAGCAGGATTATGGGCAAGGTGTGAAGCAGATTTGCACCTCGCTCTTTGGATGTAGTTAGTCCAAAAGCCAGGCTGGAACTTCTACTGCTTAACTGTTCAACAACATTTTCACACAGTCAGTGTGAGTTACAGGCATTGCACATTTTTTTCACAGTTCTCTTGGTGCCCACGTGAAAATTAAATATGCAAGGAAAAGGCCTGATTTTCAGCCCCTAAGTCATTACGCATACGTGCCCTTCTGCTCACTCACTTTGCACACAGGACTGCATCTGTGCAGGTAAATCACCAATGTGGCTAGATAGCTGGCCCTACAGGTATCTGTGTGTGAACTGTGGATTGGTGCCCCCCCAGTGAACAACACAGCTGCCACACCTGGCTTTATACTGGACAAGCCAGAATATCTCTTCACTTTCATAAAAAGCAGCCATATTCATATTGAAAAGAGCAGCACTGCACTTTGATGATGGTCACACACATAGGAGGACATAAATCAGAGATAGCAGAGTTAGTAGACAGAGCACTGGACTGGGACATGGGATAACTGGGTTTTACTCTTGGCTCCACAACTGACCAACTGTAAGTCAGCCTGTGTTTGATTCTCCTTTTAGTCTTTGCTTGATAGTTTAAAAAAAAAAAAGGTTAAGGAATCTGAACACATATTCAAATTCTTTGTAATATAAAGACAGGAAGTAGGAAGCACAATATTAAAAAGGCTGCTAATTGCTTTACTGTGCCCCAGCATTGCAGCATTCAGGAGCCACTTGCTACCTAGAGGTATGTGGAAAAAACATTTCAAGCTGCATCTACATCCAAATCATTGAATCTTTCCAAATCTCTCCGAATCAATTCAGAGAGATTAAAGGGTCTCCTGATTTGATTTAGATTTGGCGACTCGGCCACCAAATCAGGCCGAATCTCTGCCAAATTGAATCAGAGACTGAAGCTTTGCACAGCCCTAATCGGAGAATCTACCTGTCCCCTTACCTCCCTCACTTGTAAACATTTGTGTCTTGTTTTCAATGAGTATTTGTCTGTCTGGATGAAACATCTAAACAGTGGTGTTTGTTATCTTTTTCTCAGTAAAGAACCATAATATTCTGTACTTGCTCTTGGGGAAGGTACTTACATTCCACATAGGGCGCTGTGGCCAGTATAATTCACTGAAAAACAAATGTGGGCAAAACAGGCTCCAAACCTTGCTATTTGATATTCTTCATGCCTTTTAAATCTAAATATTTATGTGAGTAAGGTATCATATTAACTAATCTTTTTAAAAATCCTGGTAAACTACTATTACCTCTAATAGATCCCTGCAGAAGTGAACCCCTAACAGGTCATTCATAAGCTGATGTGGCTTTTTAAACTGTTCTCCACTGTAAATATTTGGCCTCTTAATGTCATCAAGATTCCAGTTGTTCTGGAATTACGGGACATTGTGAACAGATGCCTCCAATCTGCATGCAATCTATGCAGCTTTATTATATCTATAGCTTTATTATATCCCTTCCCTTACTCTTCTTTATTTATAACTAAATCATCCAAGTTTTCTTCATTCCTGTTCATATAGAACTACAACCCTGAGCCAGAAAGCCTTAGATATTTGTTGTTGTTCTTCTGTGGATCTTTTATATCTCCAGTATGCTCTTTTTGGGCTAAGGTGATCAACACTGACAACTCAGTTTTTGGGATGAGTATTCAGATCAAAATAGATGGGTCAGGCCATCAGCTAGTGTAAAATCAAATTTAATCTATTGAGAGGGCTGGGACATATGACTTAGGGGGAGAGGCTGAAGGAACTGGGTTTATTTAATCTGGAGAAGAGAAGATTGAGAGGGGATTTAATAGCAGCCTTCAACTACCTGAAGGGGGGTTCAAAGAGGATGGAGCTGAATTGTTCTTAGTGGTGGCAGGTAACAAAATGAGGAACAACGTGGTCTTAAGTTGCAGCAAGGGAAGTTTAGGTTAGATATTAGGAAAAACTCTCTCACTAGGAGGGTAGTAAGGCACTGGAACAGGTTACCCAGAGAGGTTGTGGATTCTCCATCTTTGGAGGTTTTTATGACCCCAGCTAGACAAAGCCTTGGCTGTGATGATCTAGTTGATGGTCCTATTTTGAGTAGGGGGTTCAACTGGATGACTCAATGTCCCTTCCAACCCAAATTTTCTATGATTCTATTTCCCTCAGCTAAGCACTTGGCCCCAAAATGCTCTCAACATTTTTATTATAGTATTTTTTTAACATGCCAAAGCAACATCCCTTCACCCTTTTAAATTTAGACTATTCCTTCTAAGATGCATGTTGCCTTTTTTTGCTTGAAACCAAAGAAGAATTTGCTAACTATTGATGCAAATAATGGTTTCAGTCCAACTAGTCTCTAGGTAAATATTCTCATGCACGTCAAACCTTCAGTCTGGGAACCTGAACAATTGTATGTAATGTATACCTAATGTCTTAGAAGGTGATTTAATTGCAAACAAGTTGTTAAAACAAATCCAGCATTTCAGAAATTCAGGCATTACACATTGTAGGAAGTCAATGGCAGGACACATACCTTGGAACATTTTTTTCATTATCACATGAGATTCCCAAGTCCTAAGACTGAAGCATGCATTTCTTTGGGAAAACCTGTTAAAGGTATGGCATATCAGGCAAAGAGATCAGATTTATAGTCCTCTCTCAAATGCTTTTCACAAGGAATAAAAGAAACACTTCCCGTATGGGAAAGTAGCTGCAGGTACTTTCAAAAACAGAGAAAAGTTTGCGACTGCAAAGTGCTAAGCCAGTTCGAATGTTAAAGAAATGATAGCTCTGTGATTGTCAGTGTGGTTTATCCATCTAAATGGGTATTGAATTAAGAGGTGTCCGTCTCCTCCAGAACACACACCACCAATTCAGTGTAGAAAACTTCCTAATGTTTCATCAGACTAATTCCATTACCTTCCTAATAGAAATTACATTTGTTTCCTTGGGCTGTGAAATATAGACATAATAAACCCATGAAAAGAAGAGAAAAAAATAGTGATATTGATTTTCTAAGGATGAGATAACCCAGAATAATTGGGTTCGAAGCACATCTGAACATAATGCATTCTGGAATTTTTAAGAAAGCTTAAACTTTTTGAAGTCTGCCTTCTGTTTAGATTTTCCTTTTTATTTCCACTTTGCTTAATTATAAGGAACATACAGAGAACTCGCATGGTTTTTTGCTTCTGTTGAAACATGCATTTTCTAAGATTGTTCGGCTCAGTTTTGTGTTAACCCTTAAGCTGCTGGTATTGTTCAGCTACTGTAAAGCTTGGGCAGGGTGTAGGGGTGGTTGTGTACATACACTTGCCTTGTCTACCACGTACACAGCTGGTGCAACAATATCTTTTAGTTACTCAAATCTGGTCTTTGAAGCCACAAGTGAAAACCAACCCATTTGTGTCATGTTCAGTTTACTAGAAAAGTTAGTAGGAAGCTGGGCCAATTGCTACTGATAGTCTGAAATGGAAAGTATTTAAATCTCATATTAGAAGCTAAATTTCTCTTAAGTCAATTCTCTGACTGCTATCTAAAATGGTCATAATTTCAGTTTAAGTCAGCATCCATTTTCCATAATAGGAATGGTTCTACATGGTCAAATATACATTCAAAAGTGAGCATCCACTGAAGTAAGTGAAGGATGTGTTTCTCTCTCTCTGGTGTACTTATAAAGTACACTAATTTATGGTAAAAATAATTTAGTAAAGTGAAGAAAGTTGTCTCATCTTCATCATCATCAGTATCCTGAGTTATACCAGGGAAGGATGGATATAGGCCTTTGGTTATTAGCATTAGGTATTTATATTCAGCAGCTATAGTATCATTTTTGGCTCTAATAGACATTTTCCTTTTTTAAATACAAATAGTCTGTTTGGATTGATTTCTTGGCATGTTTTTTCAGCATAATATTGATTTGTTGAATATATCAGACACTGTTTCTAGTAATCTGAGTTGCCCTGAAGAGTTCAATCCCTGCCCACTGAAAGCAGTAGGAGTCCTTCCATTAATTTCAATAATTGTTGGACCAGATGAGTAGTTTGGAAATATTCAAAAGAATATGCAATTTAAAACATCCCAGAACAACAATGGGGTTTCTTTTATGCCTGCATTCATTACACAATTGTTAAAATTCATTGCCAATGTTTTTTTTAAGCATATGGGCTGGATGCAAAGCCTATTGAAGTCAAGGAGAATCTTTCAATTGATTTCACTTGGCTTTGTATTAGCCCATTTATCTGTTGTCACCTACTACATAATGTTAGCCAGGGTTTCTTACTGACATCTTTACACTTGAGTAAAGACTTACTGCCTGGACCTCCTTGTTGAAGGGAACCTTCCAATGAGACTTAACTTGAAGCTTTTACAGGACTAGCAATGGGGGTTTAATGCCCAGTAGAAAGATCTAAAAAAAAAAAAGGAACTTATGTTGCATTGGTACATTGACCCAGAAATGATAAATACAATATGGAAGGGTTACTAATGAGTCATGAATTTCTTTATAATTGTTTTCACATTTGGAATAGCTCTTGTTGAAATCATCTGGAAAACCACTGTAGTCAGTGGGAGTTTTGATATTGATTATAACAACAGCAGGATCAAACCCATAACATCTGATCTATACTGTAACAATACCATGTGTGGTCAAGGGCTTTGTTTTGTTCATGGGATTAAGTGATTTTTTTCTCTTTCTTTTAAGCTATTCTACTCTGCTCCTCCTCCATTTTAAGGTAAAATAATGAAGAAATGAAGAAGGAAGCTTTCTTGAGTTTACAGCAGAAATAAAGCCAAAAAAACAAGGACAGGAAGGTAAAGTACAGCCCATTACAGAGTTCCCACTCAAGTAACAGAGAACAGTAAACTCTATTAAACTATACTGTAGCTCTCTCTCTCATGGACTCAGTTGTCCATAGTGTATTCTGTGTCGTAATAATGCAAATTAAATACGCATTTTTATAATTGCCTCCATTAAAATGATCTATTAATGTTTTAAGGCTCCAGCACTTATGGCGAGATTCTAATTGCACGAGTTTGCCACTGGCAGATTTTAAAGATCTGCTTGATCTTCAGGATATTTATGCCTTTGGGATTATTTTATTGTAAGAAATTAACTTTTGCAAAAGGCTTATTTCTAGCACTAGAAAAAAGTTGGTAATAACTATTGGCCTTTGAAGGTGGTCTTATGGAACTATTCCTGGTAAGATCAGATTAAAAACGCATTTAATTTTAACCCAACTTGTAAACCAAAGCATAAATTATATGATTATTTACTTGGTCTTCTATCTCAGCAAGAAGTCTGTGCAGAAAAATAGGATTAGTAGACTTCCTGGACAGACCAGGAAGCCAAAAAGGAGAATAAAGCCATCCATGATATTTCTTACCAAGGATGGCATCTCCGGGTTGTGTACATTTCCATTCTCTGTGTTGCTATATATACTTTCTTTGTTACGTGTCTATCCATACATAAGACCACCAATAAATGGAAAGCAAGGATATTCATCATTCTGGAGTGAAAAAGCAAGGGATCATATGTATGCTTATAATGGTAGTAGATTGGTCAGACAAGGTAAAAAGAAAGGCAATAGCAGCACAGCTGAAACAGCTGGAAATTTTTACATGCAAAAGGATATGGCCAATTGCACCGAGAGAGCCTGCACTTACCGCAATAGCTACAACCCCAAGCTTTGTCCCTCAGCATGATCGTACTGATGTGCTGTAAACTTCTCAATCTGAATTGTGCACTTTTTGCCTGCAAGTCCCGAAGTTGGAGATGACCAAGCCTCCCTGCTCCTCTCCACACATCTGCCAGCTGCTCCCCACTCTTCATCAGTCCCCTCTCTCATTTCCCATGAGCCGCTGGCAGCCTGCTCATGGTTTTGGCCACAGTTTAACGTGACAGAGATTCAGAGGGGCAAGTTCAGGCAGGTGGGATCATTATGAATATGAAGTTTGATTAAATTCTCAAATAAAGGAAATGGTCAGTTCCAAATCTAAATACTTTTCAAAGGAACTGAAGTCTAGTACTGTGGTCAGGGCACATTAGATTTTATCTGACCGGCTCAGAGCATATTTTCTACTAAGAAAAGGAATGATATGGGGTCTGGAATCCTACTGATCATGTGGCGTATGCTCAACCGGTCAGTGAATCAGAGGAGACATGATAACTTCAGCTAAGTGACAAATCTCACCTAATCGTCTCAGGCCTTTAAAGCACTCTGTGCAATGCTGCATTTGGATTGTTGCTCATGTGTGGAACAGAAGGACAAAATTCAATAGCATTACAGAGAAATTAGTCAACCCAACTTTTCTTTACTGGAAAGAGATAATTTTTCAGTAGTAGCTATTTCACAGGTAATGGTCATTTTTGATGAAACGACTGAATTAAATCAAGATTGAATCTTGATTAAAAAATTGAAATAGATTTCAAAATTGTAAGAAATGTGCCATTTTGACATTTGACATTTGACATTTTTGGTGAATTTTATTTAATTTCAGACTAACGCTGTTAAAAATAAAGGGGTCAAAACTGAAATGAAATACTCTGAATTAGCAGAGAGACAGTATGATTTTTTTTTTAAAGGATTATATCAGCGTGTGAAAATTGGGATAGAAAAAATATTAGAATTTACAAAAAAAATAATTTGAGAAAGTCTTTGCAAAGCAACACTAAAAACAACATTGCCCACCATGTCTAGAAATCAGCATAAAATATGATGCAAATATCACTAATACAAAATTATTGTAAAATACCTATATTTTTGTAAAAATCACCACAACCTTGCAAACGGGCACATCTGGAGTATTTCTAGTTTTAACTAGCATGGTTTATATTCACTTCTAGGGACAAGGCTTCTTATTAAGCCTGAACCACAGCTGATTTGTTGGTCAGATGCCAGAGGAAGGAATCAAGAAGTTAGCGTTGCAGGCTGAAAAATGTGACAAGTTGTTGCTGGTGGTTTTGGTGAACAATTGTTTCACAAACAATCCTAGAAAATCCCACCCCCCAAAATAAAATAAAAAGGAAAAATTAATAATTTCACACCAGAACCATGAGCAGGCTGCCAATGGCTCGTGGGAAATGGGAGAGGGGACTGATGAAGAGTGGGGAGCAGCTGGCAGATGTGTGGAGAGGAGCAGGGAGGCTTGGTCATCTCCAACTTTGGGACTTGCAGGCAAAAAGTGCACAATTCAGATTGAGAAGTGTTTACAGCACATCAGCGTGGTCATGCTGAGGGACAAAGCTTGGGGTTGGAGCTATTGCCAGGCTCTCTCGGTGCAATTGGCCATATCCTTTCGCATGTAAAAACTTCCAGCTGTTTCAATTGTGCTGCTATTGCTTTTCTTTTTGCCTTGCCTGACCAATCTACTACCATTATAAGCACATGTATGATCCCCTTGCTTTTTTACTCCAAAACAATGACTATCCTTGTCTTCCATTTACTGGTGGGCTGTTGCTGTGAACCAATTGAAATGTAGCAGCGCTCCATTGTCCTATTGCCTCAAGTTTCATCCAGAATATTAACAGTTTGGTTGAAAATTTCAAGCCATCTAAAAGTTGATGATCTGCTCATTTCCCCAGCTGAACCACACTTATAGGAGAACCATTTCATTCAAATATTCTAATCTGCCTTGTGACCCTTCACTTTTAACAGAAATGTTTTAAAACCGAGTGTGCGCTTGGTGGGGGGAGGAGGGAAGTGAGCGAGTGAGCTTTGGCTCATAACTGCAAGATAGCTGTTGCCAACTTTGGGTGGAATCAAAGTGCTTTGCAAGTCTTCCCTCTCCTTTCCCTCCCTCTTTACTTCTACCAGCACCTGTCATTTCTGATTTGCAACATCACCTGCTGTTCCAACGCTAGGCTTCTCTAGACCAGCAACTGGAGCAAAGCACAGAAATGCATGCTTGTCATTGAAGTGAGCGGAGAAGAAGGAAGAGGAGAATGATAAGATCGTCGCCTGCAGCACTTTGTTTATGAGAACATCCTTCCAGTGATATATGTCTGCACCAGGTGAAAGTATTGTGTCACCCCTAACATATTTTAAATGCCAGGGCTGTCATGCAGGATGACAATGATGAACAAGTTTAAACAAAATACGGCATTGTATCCATGTACAGACCGTGTTAGTTTTTAAAGGTTTGCCCCGGTAGTATTGCTTGATAAAATGTTTCCTAACTGTGTTGGCATCTTCCCTAGCAGAACCTCATCTCACACTATCTTCAACTAAATCAACTTGCCTGAATTGCATGTGAATCAACACTGTTAGTCATATATACCTATCCATACCTAACACAGCTTCTCTATTTAATAAGGCCTCCATTACCAAAATACCTCTACCATCATCTCTCCTCACACCCCCTTCACGAGGTAGAGAAGCGCTATTATTTTAAGACCCGCAGAGAAGTTCAGTAACCTGCCCAAGGTCACATAAATTGTGTGGCACAGCTGGAAAGCAAACTCAGGTCTCCGACTAGTATCCTGCCGCTAAAGCATCTTTCCCATCTCTTGCCTATATTGCTTTCACCTTTCCTCTACCATGCTTTCATGGAAAGGGTGGAGAGCTGGTCCCATCCTGCAAAGCACTTAGTTTTGAATTAGAGGCACTATTATTCATACTTTCACTCTGCTACATTTTCTTTCCTTGTCTCTTTACCAGTGGTGATACACAGGCCAAAACAATTAAACAGGCATCTGTGGAACTATATGCTGGATCCTTTCTAACTTCATGTTAGCTTTCCATCAAGATTTCTATTGTCTCTTAACCTCTTGGCTCAGTAGTTAGAACGGATTGATAGTGGGTCATTGAAGATTAAAAGTATCGATGGCTTTCCTGAAAATTGGCAAGAGACCTATCACTAAAGTACACCCAATTTCAGGCACAGTCTTATTCTGTTCGTAAATGTATTTAAGAGAACTTGAGGGTGATTAGAAATGCAGAGCCAGAAATGGATCAAACCTTTGCATGACTAAAAAGATGTTGCTCCTGTTTGAACTAGACACATGGGATGCGTCCAAATGAGCGTGCATCTGCGGGGATGCAGACCTGTCTGCAGCTCCGTACATGCCACACATGGAGGCATTCATTGTACTGTTAATTTGCAGTGTGGCAGGGTTTTTTGACACTGGAAGATCCCAGTGTAAAAAAAAACCCATGACAGAAAAAAGCGAGGTGGTGCAAGTAGTGGCAGTGTGCGCTGCCCAAAACGAGAGCCTGGCTGGCCACAGCTACACTCTGGTTGCCAACCAGGGTCTGCTTACCCGATTTGCCACCACTGGAGTCCCGGGAGGCCCCCAAGACCCCAAGTGAGGCTGCTGGGGCTGGTCCAGGTGCTGGCTTCAACCTCTTCTACCCCGCCCATGGCAACTTGCTGTGCAGCAGAGCGCACGTGCAGGGGTGCTTCCCAGGGACAACTAGCAGTGACACATTTGTGCCACTGCTAGTTGTTCCCACGGCACGCATGTTCCCACTCATGGGGATGCGCCCATTAGGTTTGCTTTCAGCATTATAAACAATTTATGCACCAAATTACCCTCTTGATGGCAATTTCTTTACAACTAGTTTCCTCATGGAAAAAAGGCATTTGTGCCACTACCACTGGTGCAATGTTTTTACAAAACATGACTCATTTTCTCAGATTAACGTCTGGAATGGATGCTCTAGGACAGTCCGCCAGAAGTAACATTGACTATAAGAAGTGAATACTGGCAACCAGTTGCTAGCTCGCTGCTCAAATTTAGGTGAAAGTGGTTTGGTGACAGGGAAAAAGAAAAGAGCAAAGGAGTGAAGCTATAGCGATGCATGTCACTTGAGGTGTTTATACACGAGCTCCAGGAGGTGTGGGGGAGATGCACTAATTAAAGCGCCTGGAGCATCATGTGTATCAATGTCCCCCACCCTGAAAAATGGCAGCGGGGTGCTTGGTACTAAAGCTCGAACAAGCTTTAGTTTAAAGAGCCCTGCTGCCAATTTTCAGGCTGGGGACACTGACACAAATGACACTGGAGGCTGCTGGAGCATGGTAATTCCCACGCTCCAGCAGACTCAGTTAAGTGGGTCTGCTCTGATGCACTGGATTTACAGTGTGTCAGAGCAGTCTTCCTGCACGTGTATAGGAGCCAATGATGTTCAAGGCTTAAAGAGCACAGAGGTTTATGTTTGAACTCAGAAACCTGCTGTATGCGTCATTTAATGCAACTCCAGTGATGATGTTAGTACTGAGAAAAAACCAGTCAGATTGTCTCTGGTTTGACACCCGAGGTTATCAACCATCCAAGCTCTTCAACTAAAATCCCACACGACCTTTGCAACACTCTCTACTTCAGTTTTCCCATCTGTAAAATGGAGAGAATACCTGTTTCACTGACCTTGCAGGGTGATTAGGAAGGCTAGTCAATTCATGGTTACAATGTTTCTTGAAAATGGAAGCATCAGGTCAGCATTTAAATCCTGTAACTAAAGATTTTTTTTAAAAAGAAGAACACTAATTTTTGTTTAGACACACCCAAGGAGTGCTTTGCTTGAGATAAGGCTTCAGGCCCATACACTGCATATTTAAGAAATAGTTTACTTCTGAACCAGTAAATGCACTACACAAAGCAGCTATTATTTATGCATTCCTGCATACATGGCAAGGTGAAAATAATAGAATAAACATCATATACTTCATTATGATATCGGTTTACACTTCCAGGGTACACAAAAAGAGGCCATTTCATCAAGCTAATTGCCTGAAAGTAAAAGAGAGAGAACTTTAGCTATTAGTCTATTATGGGGCTTTTTTCTTAATCACAAATAGGGGCCGTGTGTCCCCAGGGGGATGTGTATTCTAATTTACAATTGAACTACAGATCAGAGCAATCAATCTTGTGCAGCACTTTTACAGTGTAATTGCTGCAACATAACAAATAAAAAAAAGCAGCCTAAGTTGGGTTTCAGCTTGAGGTGGAGATATTTACCAGGCATCGGTTCAGGGTGGGAGGGAGAAAGAGGGAGAGAATGAGAGGCAGAGAAAAAAAGAGAGACGCCACAACCATGAATATGCAATGAGGGCTCATTAGTGCCCCAGTGTTGCCATGACGAATGGCATTATCCCTAGACTGGTGCAGCCTAAACATGAATTTTATAACGACCCATTTATCATGACTTGTCATGGATTTCTTTACTGTACTTTCCACTGGCTCACACACCTTTCACCGTTATTACCTTCGAATCCCTTTCTTTTATGATTATTTTGTTTGGTATCGATTCCCATCCTCTCAAGAGAAAGCACTTACAACCAGGAACGCACTGGCATTTGCAGATTGGAAATGCTAGTCAAAGTGGAAGAACCCTTGCAAAATAAGTAGGTGGGCTTCGTTCCACTTCCTGGTGGACAAGTGCTCTTGTTGTCACAAATATCGGCGCTCGCTAGAAGTCTTGTCAGTTGACTCAGCAGAACGGCTCGAATTGAACGAGCATGGAGACAACCGTCTTCTCATTCCTGGCGGGGGTGATGGATTAATCAGTTCTCTTGCCCTAGGCCTAGACTAAAACTGGTCCTCCCATCAGGCCACACCACCTTTGTGCACGGGATAGGAATCATGACCTAATCTGTAGGATGACTGAGGCACTTCATCCAGCAAACGGAGAAAAAACTTCTGGCATATGTGCAGGACACATAATGACCAAAATGTCTAATCGCTTAGAACAAGATGCATGAAGTCAAGCCTAAAGGAAAAAATGATATTTTTAAACAGAAGTAAAGCAACATATGTATCTCCCTTTTCTTTCTTTTCACCACTGCATGTTGCTGTTATTTTACTAATTATCTTATACTCTGAACTACTGAGTTATCACCAGGGATCTTGGTTTTCTCTGATAAATAAAAAATTCCCCAATGTTCAGATTTAAAAAGTAGCCCCAAATCCACATTTTTGGGGATTAAAATGAAATGCCACTAGTATATAGGTATATATAGATATCTATATATAGTGGTGTTTCATTTTAATTAGGGGATTTTTTTATTTATCAGAGAAAACCAGGATCCCTGGTTATCACTGCCTAAAAAGAAGTCCTTCTAGATCAGAAGCTTATAATTCTTCTGCCAGGGTTGTGTATACTCTGTGGTATATAAAGGACTTCATTCTCCAGAGCTATGAAGGTCAGGCACTTCCCAGAAATACAATCCTCACCATATTTTTAAAAGCTGAGAAGTGTATCATCTTCATTATCCCAAATATCTCCAGTGATGTTACTTTTTTCTCCAGTGAAAAGTCATATTAGATTTCTAGAGTAGCTAAGACTATCAAGTCTACCTTGATGGATTTTATAGTTTTCCTATTACAAGATTTCCACTTTGGGTATTGAAAAAACCAAGCAATTTATTTTCACCTATTACTGGTAAAGGGCTTCACTTTCTCGAACAGGTTGGGGGCCTTCCTTGCTCTCTGAAAATACTTCTCCCTAAGTTTCATGTTAGAATAATCTTAGAGAGTTTTTCTTCTTTATTCTACTGGGTACTTGAAATGATTAAAAAGCACATCTAACACCAGAGCAATTAATACCTGCAAAGACTCGTGTTTTAGTTTAATAGTTTACTATACCCTATGACTAATAGTTTAGTAACAGGCCCTATTTCTTTTATAAAATCATCACTTTGCTGTTATAGCTGCCAAGAGAGCTGCAAACTAAAGCGCTAGTTTGTCAAAGCAACAGATTCCAAAGATTCATGCTATGTTTCCATTCTCACATTCGATAAACGAGAATCGCAATGTGTAACGGTGACAGCTTACCTTAGAAAAAAGCATGCTTGGAGGTCCAGGTACCTGGCACTTCCTGATAAGTTAGACATGTCACACTGTTACCTTGTGTTCCCCTTTTCTCTCTGTGTTGTATCTATCTTCGGTCCGTCATCATTTACGTTTGGACTTTACAGACTTGGAGGTTATGTCTGTTTGCTCTAGTGCCTCGCAGAATAGAGCCCTAGTCTTTGAACGTCCTTGAATGAAACCTCTAACATCCCTTCGTAATGCAGTGATGCCAGGAAATTCAGAAAAAAAGCAAGGAGAACATGAAATAACTTTTACCAAAGATAAATACAAATAAAAAGTGTTAGTTCTGCAAAAAAAGTGCACATTTAAGTAACATAGGTCTTTGGGTAAATCCCATATCTTTTACTAGACCAACTCAAATAGTTTGAAAAATCCCTTTTTGCAAGCTTTTGGAAGAAATTTTTTTCCACTTATTTGAGTTGGTCTAATAAAAGATATTGGATTTACTCAAAGAACTTTGGCTGCCTGTGTCCTTAGACCAACACAGCTACAACCTACACCCATTAAAAGAACAGAGATTTAAGACACAGAGGGAGCATCTACACATGATGCTACGGTGACGTAGTGACAAGCTACCTCGCTATAGTGCATTGCTACAGGGATGTAGCTGCTAAAACTAAGTGTCTGCTACCAGGACAGTGCAGGAATGGCTGCTACTGCACCATCATTTAGTACTTCCTAAAGCAAGTACTAAATGACAGCACAGTAACAGCTGCACCGTGGGGCCCATGTGTAGATATGCCCAGCAGTTAGTAAAAATGTTGTTCATAGGAATCTTGTGGGGGAGGAGGGGGCAGCGGGTCATTTGCTAACATCCATCTAACTTGATCTAGCTTCAATCCAGGTATGAATTTGTAATGGTATCACCTTTCTTAGTGGTTTAAAGGACTGCTGCTTTCTACATCTCTGCTTTTTTTTGAAAGACCCATGGTCTTATAATACAGCCAATTTCCAGGTTATACCGTGCTGTCATGATACGCCCATTATGCAATCCTAACTCATCACAAATAATTGGTATTATGCTCAGACTTTTTAAACCTCAGATTTTCCTCAATTCTTGGCATAACTGATCAATCTTTTTGTATTTTCAACTGAACATTCCTATCAAATGAAGCCATGTCCCCTCCTTTTTAAAAAAAAGGTACTATACCTCATCTCCTATTATAAACGTCATGAACAGAAACAATTAAAAAAAATCCTACAATTTAATTCTCTCATTTATCCACAAGTTTGTCATGCATATGGCATTCATTTCTCTCCTACTTCTATTCCCTGCTTCTTGCAAAAGGCTCAAAGCTCATCATTGCCAACACTGACATGCCGTACTTTATACTCATCATCACTGACCAAGCTGACCACTGATAACACGACTGATAGTCTCTATGTTGGTACTGTTGCTACGTCTGTATTTTCAGTTTGTGAAAAGGGAAATCAAAGAGGCTTTTGAAAGACTAAATAGTAAATAGCTATTCTTTACTGACTCCATGTTGTGCATAGCAATTTAGGGAGGCAAATAGTTCCTAGCCCTGAGGAACTCTGCAATATTAACTCTGAGAATAGCAGCAATAAAATATGGTTTGGTTTGGAACGTGTATTGGGAGAAGAGAGGAGGGAGAAGAGGAGAGGGAATAGTAAGGGGTTGAAAAGGAATACACACACTCTCAAAAGAGTTGATAAGTCCTAATTCCAGTTTGGCCCATCCAGGCCCATTTTTTCTCAGATTTATTTTATGTTAAAATTATGAACAGTCATCAAGGTGGTGTTGGAAGGTGGCACTGGGGTAGAAATCAATGATGAAAAGGTGTTGTCCATTCCTGAGGCACTGTACCCATATTATGATAATGTTGCTGGACCTCTATGAAACATTGAACATAGCTATGTTCTGTTGTTTAAGAGGTGTGGTGGGGTAAGAGATTTCCTGTTTGAATGGTTTTACTTATTCTTTACAGGTCCCACCTCGAGAGTTGTGATGGGCCCCTCTTTTTCTACTACTTCCAAAGACTGTGGAGTTCCGCGTTCTCTTCATTATCTGTACGAAGCCATTGAAAAGGGAAATTTTGAAGCATCATAGACTAAGAAAGACCAGCCCTAGGCAGATGACACTTTGCTCTATATCACCTTGACATCAGACATAGCACCATCTCACAACTCTCTAGGTGGAGATTGGTCTGGAGAGTAGCTGTTTAACCTGGAGCCAGAAATGTATCCCATACCTTTCATCTGATTTGCAAATGACAATCATTAAAATAATAAAATAAAATAAATTGAGGACATTCCTTATAATATGGTAAGTTCCTAGTTC